ATGTTAACGTGTTTTTTAGTCTCTAGTGAGCAGACTCAACCCTAAAAACATAAATATAAAAGTATGTCATTATTTGATAATTAGTAATGTACTTATATTCAAAGGCACATTGATGTAACTATTCATTGTCATGTTCCCTAAGTGAGTGACTCTATTATTCCAAGCTGCAACAAACCTTTCATAATAGGGTGTCAACCAAGTTTCATGCATATACTGATTAAATAAAAGAATATCACTACATACAATCTTAAAATGCTCAAGGTGTACCAAAAAATCAGACCCTCTATTCAAATATATGATGTTGTTCCACAGATCCATAACATGCTCATGCATATGGAATTCGACACACTCTTTACACTTCATACTAAAAAAATTCTTCATAAATAACATTTAAATTGTCCCCGTTTTTGGTACAGTATATGTATTTCACTTCATGAATAAGACTCAACAGATGTTGCATTTCAGTCAACGAACCTATCTTGCTTGTCTTGCATGTATATATTGCCTTATACACCTGAGTAACACTTGTCATATTTTTTGGATCTCTATCTTTCAAAGCAATAATTATGTATCTGGGAGCCATATTGTATTTGGTAATGTCATTCACAAACTATATTTCATTTTCTTATAAACGACCTAATATGTTATGACCATTTAAGTCCTTAGCTAGTATATGATTGTGAAACCCACACCAAACCATAACCTTTCAATCGCTACCACTTGGCACAAATCTCATCATACATGGGCATTTAACTTTCATATTATAACTACCATCAGAAGAATTCTTCTTTTTGTAGTTTCCTCCTCCCACACAACCCATAATAAATTTGTCTCTCCTCTCTCTGATCCCATTTGCAGTATCCAAATGAATAATAACTAAAATAATACCATGTTATTTATCAACAAACTATATCCATGCTAACATGTCAACTCAAGAGGGAAATGTATGTCATTTACAACGTTTTCAAAATAAATTATCAATGTCAGAGATATTGTAAGCCTATTAATTTTTTAACAATTTAAAAATTAAACATGTAAGTAAAACATGCAACGTCGGTGATGAAAAACTGCTTAAAATCTTCAGAGAAACCATCAGAACCTAAACCGCACAAATGAAGCATTATGAACTACCAGATTTTTTACAATATGAAAAATATCGAATATACCAGATTTTTCCAAAAATCCAATTTTTTTTTTATATTTCCTAGATATTTTAAAATATTTGGTAGAAATGTACCGACTTTTTTAAAACCTACGATAAATACACGATTAATTCCAAAAAAATAACATATTTTTCTTAAAAAATTGAAAAAACTACAATAAAATTCCAGAAATTTCTAAAATATCCAGTAAAAATGAAACAAAATATCAAACATTTTAAAAAAAATCGATAAAAAATAATACCATATTTTAAAAAATCTGGTAATATTGCGTACATATCCCTTTTCCAAAGATTTATGTCCTTATCAGATTTTTCTGAATACCTATCAAAAAATTTTTTTTTACCAGTTTTCCAAAGTGAAATTTTTTTGAGTAAATTTAAATTTATGAAAGGTAAATAATGCAAAGAGTATCTTAATCATTATAAAAATATGTGGGGTGCCATGTAAAAATATGGGAATTATAGGATAAATCTGGGAAATGCTCTTTTCACCCTTAGTTATGCCATCAACACCCTTGAAAAATCCAAAATTACCATTCGTGAGTCCGGAGATGCATTCCAGACGCATTCAAATCACAATTGAAATGTGTTATTATAAGATTTATCATTTTTAAATAAAATATGGTCCGAGGATGTATATATGTATGGTATTTGGGTGTATTGGAAGATGAATCTCTGAAATGTTCTATGGAAGTTTATGAAAGCGTGGTAAATACAAAGGAGAACTATTTCAGAGACGCGTCTCCAGAACCCTCCCTGATTCACATTATAAAAATGCCATTATCCAAACATTTGACTTTTATGAGGCCAAAAATCATACATTAACTTATATTAACGTAAAACCAAAGTAAAATTAAAGTTAAAGGGGGTAAAAATTCATACATTAATAAAAAAAGTCAAGATAATTTATACATAACAGGAATCCGAAAATACCAAAAGAAATAATACATCCCAATATAAACTATTGAGTATGTCTAACCTCATGCCTTCTTTGTCGCCTGTACTGCACGATATTCCATAACTCGACAACTACGGTCTATATGAGGGCCAACTAGGGAGAACCATACTCAAAGATTCATGCCTCTATGGCTCCTCTACCCATCTCTATAACACGCTGACATACCGCTGTCACCCTCTCTGCCTGCTCATCCCGAACCTCAAGTACCTTCTGGTTAACTGTCATAGGTGGTTCTCTAGGAACATCTAGCATCATGATAGGGTGTGACACCCTATAGAACTATATCATGTAGCCCTTAACACAAGCCCAATGTTTATCAACTGACTCCTGAGAAACTCCTCTGGTACTAGGTGACTCATGAAATTATTCAGTATATCATATAGGTTTCTACGGTAGATGCCAGGATGAGTAGCTTCATTGGGAGGTCTCTGAATGATCTATATATACCCAAACTGGAGAATCACTCGCTCTAGAAAATAAGGACACATAAGAGATGACCCAAATGCCAACCATCTAGAGTATAAAGAGATGATGTCAAACAACTGTATTTGACGGCGACCCTCGTATGGGCAAAAGTTAACGTCATATGGTACCATACAGTCAAGAGAGACTCTAAATGGCTCGACATCAACATTCCCTCTATATGGAACAAAAGCAGATACACAAGGTCAATCCTCATTGTACTATGCCACAACTTCCAACCCAGTGATGCGAGGGAAGTGGGAGATGATCTGTCCCAGAAAATGTTTCGAATACAATATTAATAACATGTAGAAGAAATGAATTATGAAAATATTAGTAACAAGAAATTACCATAAGCCGCTTGCAACAACCCATTATTTGCTTTGTCTTCCAAAGATAACTCTCTCTCAACTTAGATTACATGTAGACCAAACAGTTGGCCCCTTGTTGAACTCGTGAATCACATTCAGGTTTGTGAAATACTTGAGGTATGCCATATCGAAATATGTAGCACTTTTTTCTGCAGACATGGATGAGCTAACCAAAAATAAGAGGTAGCACCTCAATGCGTAATGTCAGTGGTACTCAACTTACTCATCACCACCTTCGACATCCTTAGCCCCCTTCACATTATCATTGTAAAGCTCTTCCAAAAAGAAAAATTGTGCATGAGCTGTCTATTCTGATGCCTTACCAGGGTCATCCCCCAATAATTGACCACCAGATTGACCCATTCCTCTCGACTGATCCTCTTGTGGTCTAGTAATCTCTCGTTGATAGGAAAATGCAGTAGACATAAGATGTCATCCAAAGTGATGGTCATATCCCCTATAGATAGGTGGAAATATCACGTCTCTGAGTGTCGCTTCTCTGTAAAAGGTGCCTGCATGTCGTGGTTTATGATCACATATATAGATGAACATAAATCGGTAAGACCAGAATATCGGATAACATCTTTTAACCAATGACCAGCGGGCTATGGAAACTACAACATCTTCCTGCTATGGTTAATCATTTTCAAACAATCACCCTCATGAAAAAAGAAAACATAATCAATATAAATATTTTAGATAACAACCAATATATATATATATATATATATATATATATATATATATATATATATATATTGCAAAAGAAAATAAATATAACTCTTCATTTGATACATGTCTAGTAGCATGCTCTGCATAATTATAAAGTAAGGAGGTGTCATACGACCCTCCTAGATAATTCTTCAATGGGGCCTCCTCCTGGGCTTCAAGGGCCTAAAGATCCTCAAATTCTACTACATCATATGTTTGAGATGCTTGAGAGAGTCGGCTATGAGAACTAGACAGTCGATGATGGAAAGAAGATGAATTATCACACGAGTCATCTGTAACTCGTAGCCCCATGGTTCTGGCTGCGGCCCTTTCACGTTGTACCGACGCCGATCCTAATCTGACTTCATTATTGTCAGCCATTACACCCACGTTATAAATAGAAACAAATATAAACAACAATGTCCACTACATGTCCCAATTTTTTGACTGAGCTCAATTTAGAGATGCATCTCAAAATACAGTTTAGAGTAAATCTAAAGATGCATCACCGAAAAAACCTACAATTTTAAGCTCCCATGGCAGACACATTTTCTTCCCTAACAGTTCCAAAAAACCTCATTGCATGTTGCTCTAACCTACCAAATTTGCTTACACTACTACCTAAAGTACCTAAAACATATGATGTATCCTAAAAAACCAACTTAAAAACTAAAACACAAAAAGAGAATAAAATTTGAAAAAAATACCAAAATGAAATTGATTGACGAGAATGTGTTGTTTCGATGTTATGAGATGATGGAAATGAGGAGAAAGAGCTCCACTGATGCTTTAATGCAGTGTCTCAAAGCTTCAATGCAATGTTTGTGTGAGAGAGAGAGATAGGTCAAATGTCTTTTTTTTGTTGATAAAATGAAGAATGAGAAATAGATAATGTTTCTGACGCGTTTTAATGAAAGAAAGCGTCTAGAGATGCATCTCCGGACCACCAACATATTTTTGAATAAGTGGTGTTTACGGGAGATGCATCTCCGAGCGCACTTTTTCTCATACGGAAATGTATCTCCAGATTAAATTTTAACGCGAAAATAATACTTTTCAATTTCGTATAAAAAATGATAAAAATAGATGCGTCTGAAGATGTATCTCCAAATGCTAGAAATATTATAAACTTTTCACACTGGTCTGAGAGCATTTATAAGAGTGGAAATAGCATTTCCTTGAAATCTCGGTAAGCCCAGGAAATGAAGCCCACAAGGCCCACGAAGCTAGTTGGCATCATCGTCAACAACCAAACCAAATACTAATCCGCTACTGAGTACGACTCACAGAGAAAATGTAAGAAAAAAGAACCCAAAGACAAAAAATAAATAAATAAATGGATTCCGATAACAAAAAAACACAAAAAAACTGGAAAAACTCGCTACTCTACCTCACCTTTATTATCACAATCGTTCACCTCACACGTCAAACCAATTTCTCACGTAAACTAACAATCGACACCAAAACGGTGCGTATCAAGAAAACCTCCGATCTCCCTCTCCGGTTCCGTTCCGACGGTACCTTCAAAATCCTCCAAGTCTGTTCCTCTCATCTTTCATAGCATGAAGAAAAATCTCGATTATTCGGTTTGTAATATTTAATTTTCGATTTTTGATGATGTGTAGGTTGCTGATATGCATTATGGAAATGGAATTTTAACAAGGTGCAAGGACGTGTTGGCTTCTGAATTCGAGTTTTGTTCTGATCTTAATACTACTAGGTTTTTGAAGCGGATTATTCATGCTGAGAGTCCTGATTTTATTGCATTTACTGGTAATTTTTTGATGATTTATTGATCTGAGTTTATTTGCTTATTTTTGGATTGTTTTGCTTTTAGTTTACTTTTTTGTGAATTTTCAGTTTGTGGTACAGTGATTGTTTTGATCTAGTGATATAGGAGTAATCACTTATTTGAGAGAATTTGGGGATACAACTTATGACATGCATGAAATGAGATGTTTTCAGTTTATTTTCATAAGCTCTTTTGGATAGGTTATGAGTATAGTTAATAGCTTATATGATAACAACCTGACTTGATTTAATCTTTTCTTATAGAAACAACTTATAAATAAGTCCTTTTACGATAAACCCGTTTATCAAATTCAGCTAGCAAATTACTTTCTATCATGCCCTAAAATTTGTATTATATACTTGGCTTAAGGGTCTATCATACCACCTGTCATTCCATAGAGTCAAGCTGGATTGTCCTGTGTAAATTAAGAGGCAGAACCTTCTAGGAAACAACAACCAGATGTTTTTTGCGGTCACAGAGAAGTACTCCCTCCGTCTCAAAATAATAGTCGTTTAAGGTTGTTACGCGGAGATTAAGAAGAATAATGATTGAGTCAATAAAAGTAACTTCTTTACAAAATTACCCTTTTTTATTATTGGTTGTAGTACATTGTCATACTTGGAAAGAGTGTATACAACGGGTAAAATTGGTAAATGTTAATTATAATTGCATTGGAAAAGTAAAGAGACTATTATTTTGAGACAACTTTTTGAGGCTAGAAAGACAATTATTTTGAGACAGAGGGAGTAACAATTATAAACGGCTTTCCATGTTGTAAGTAATGTGTGTTAGCAAACTATATAGCACTATAAACAGAGCTAGGGAGATATTTGTTTCTTATAGTGCTTTATTTACAGGTCTAACAAAATAGGGTGACAATGACAAAGCGGGTCTTTGGAGTGCAATTTTGGAGAATCTATTAAGATTTGTACTTGCTTGTTTAGCAAATCATATTTCTTAACTATATAGAAGTAATGATACGAATATAATTCTTATTCTAACTATTACATTTGGCTTGGACTACAATAAAAATGACCAAATGAAATAGAGTAAAAGTAGATTCTCGCTTGCATATACTTACTGAATTCAAGCTCTTACGCCTTGATTGACCAACTTGTTTAATTGATTATTGCAACTTGTTAGAATTATATGTTTCCATTGATTGATAGCGAGAATTCCTAACTGAATTCTTGTGTTTTCTATTTTATATATTTTTTGAACTGAAATACAACTTGTGTGATCTATTTATAGACTCACACAGCCATGGTTATCAAAATCACGATCTAAATCTTAGAATCTTATGCTTTTACGATCCCACTCACCCCCAATGATTTGGATCTTAAGTAAAATTGTGTGTTGTAGTCAAATCGTGAAAATATGGTAAAACCAATGATTATGTGCAATTGGCCAATTCCAGCCACAATCGGCCATTTTCCGGCCACCACCACTACAAGTCGAGAAGAATGACAAAATACAAAGGCCCAACAATTTCGGTCGGCGGCATCCATTTTTCCCCGAATACCCTTTGCCTACAAAAATATCATGTAGAAATACTTCAAATTTGTAGTATTATTTTCCGTGACGATTTTTGTTATCATCTTATGTTTTGCGATCTTGCTACCCCCTCTCAATCTTACAAAAATAATTGAGTAGGATCTTAGTTATGATCTTATATTTTACGATTCTTACCATCCCCTCTCGATCTTACAAAAATAGTTGAGTTGGATCTTCCGATCTTAGTTATGATCTTATATTTTACGATCTTACCATCCCCTCCTGATCTTAAGCAAGATCCCGATTTTTTGACAACCTTGCACACAGCTAACTAAGTCAGTTGGTTAGCTCCTAGATCATAGGGATTAGTTTTCTAGATTCTAGGGGTTACTTAGGAAAAGTCGAATGAGGCATGTATACTGTGCATCTAGTGCAAAGTAGCTACAATAAGAATTATGTTGTATTAGTTCCTTTAATACCCCTGTAAGCCAAACTGAGGGGAATAGGCAAGAACACCTATACCATGCATCTAGTGCAAAGTAGCTACAATAAGAATTATGTTGTATTAGTTCCTTTAATACCCCTGTAAGCCAAACTGAGGGGTATAGACAAGAATCCCACACAGTTAACTTGGTTCTAAATTTTTCAAATTTTGTGGGAGGAAATGCTTTAGTCATGACATCAACACACAGATGATGACCTCGGGTGTGTAAAACTTTGAGCTGCTTATTGAACAACTTTTTTTTTTTTGGAAAAAAGTTCAACTCCATGTGCTTTGTCACACTAGATGGTGGGAGGTGAGTAGGAGATGCCCAGTTCTTGAAGAAGGGACTGGATCCAAAGTAGCTTAGAAGTGGCTAGGGCCAGGGTTCGATACTCAGCTTCAGTACTAGAACGAGAAATGAAATGTTATTCCTTGTGATAGTAGGTACAAGAAGCAAATTATGTAGTGAGTTTGAGTGTAGGGTGCAGTAGTGAATTGAAAGTAGAGGAATCAATAGAGGATACTAAAAAACCTTGGCCATTGCAAATGTAAATCTGATCTAGACCTTCAAAGTTGGAATGATGTTAAATGTTGACACCATTTGAAGTTACATGATGAGATGCACCAGAGTATAGTTAACAGTTTGTGGATGCAGGCAGATCAGAATTGGGATAGAGAGCTTGAGGTGATGGTACAGGAGCCGTATGATACAAATGTGCGGATGGCATGGACTGCACCTGAGTGGGAGGCACATGTGGAAGATGCATAGTGGAATTTGGTGCAGGATTCATAGAAGGCATCTTAAGCTGAGGCACGATGAAGTTGATTAAGGTGGAACAGGTGATTCATCTTGAGAAATAGAGGGAACAAAGTCTCTTGAAATGGTGATAGAAAATAGACGCTTCGTGAGTGTATTTTCTGCACACTTAGCATTGAATCGAGCTACCACGGCCATTGCGACCACGAACACAGCTACCATGGCCTCCATGAGCTTGAAAATTGACCGAATGTGTTGGATTTGAGGATTGAGGATGTGACTCAGTGAGATTGATCAGAGGATCAATCAAATTAGGTGTATCATTTGAAGCAGTGGATGAAATTGTGAGATTCGCATTCACAAATGAGATTGTGTTTTTACGAAACTGATCCAGGCGTGATTCATGACATAGAAGAAGAGTCTTGATTTCTTCAATTGACACTAATCCGAATTTACCAGTGACGACGTTGATTGTGGATTTGAAATCCAGGCAAAGCCTTCAAGGATGACGTCGAGGTGTTTACAAGGCGAGATCGGTTCGCCAATCACATTGATATATCCAATCAGAGATTGAATTCATAAAACTCAACTTCCGAAATGGAATTCTTGCAATTCTCCAATGGCGTGTGCCGGAGCTCCTATCGATGTTGGCTCAACACAACTTTCCCATACTATATGTTGTTGAAAATCCACAAGCTTTTACAACCAATAACACAACAAAGCATGTCGCAATAGGTAGTAGATTGTTATGACACAAGGAGAATTTGATCTTGCTGTTCCCATGCTTCAAATGCAGGGGAGATACGGTTCTGGAGAGGCTTTTCCCTTTCTAATGATTCAGTTCTAGTAGCAGCATTTAAACCGTTCATTGGCTGAAACTTAATTCTTCCAGCTTATTTCTGTATAAATGAAACTATACCATTACAACTAAGTGGTTGAGTGTGAGTAATTAATGCTCTTTGTGTAAGGTTGAATCCTTCAGGTAGTAACCATGTAACATGTTTGATCCGAGGCTAGAGCACTTCTTAACTGGACACTGCTTATAACCTGGCCGAATTCTTGATTACTAAGGTCTTTTTCCTCTGGAAACTGGAGGCTTAAGATAAAAAAAGAAGCATACCATTACTATTTCTGTACAATATCTTACATGGCTGGGCTAAACATGACTGCTCTTCAGGTGGCTCCTTGTCTTTTAACGTTTAGTAGCCATTTGATATTTGAATGTATTTAATTTATTTTATGCTGATTGTGTTTGTATATTTTCTGAATATGCCTCATTGACATGGATTCAGTTATTTGTATTAGGAGATAATATATTTGAACCAAGCAGTTCTGATGCTGCCGAATCTCTGTTTCAAGCCTTCGGTCCTGCCATGGAGTCAAGACTTCCTTGGGCTGCAATTTTGGGAAACCATGACCAAGAATCAAATTTGAATCGTGAAGAGTTAATGTCCTTAATCTCCCTTATGGACTATTCAGTTTCCCAGGTCAATCCGTCAGATGCTAAAATTGATGGTTTTGGAAATTATAACCTAAGAGTATATGGTGCCCTAGGTTCCATGCTGGCAAATAGTAGTGTTTTGAATCTTTTCTTTCTTGATAGTGGCGAGAGGATAACATATCAGGGACTTCGAACTTATGATTGGATCAAGGACTCTCAACTTCATTGGCTGCGTCATGTGTCTCATGAACCCGAGGTAATAACAACTTTAAAACCGTCACGGGCAGTTAGTCCTTAATTTATCAAAAACAAAATGGTAAACATCTATTTTCAAATTTAGTACATGATAAGGATTCATGACGTCCTTTTTTTAATTTCTTATGCAATAATGCAGTTACGGGTTTCTTCTATTATTCGTAGGGCATGAAATTTATTTTCCCTTGAGGGAGGTTTCCCAATTCCCACATCCCATTAACATTTTGCAGGTCATACTAACAGGGACAAGAGCAGGATCCTCCTCAATCTAATGATCATGATACTACTCCAATTTCACCGCCAGCACTTGCATTTTTCCATATTCCGATCCCAGAAGTTCGGAACCTGTTTTACGAAAAGATTGTTGGCCAATTTCAAGAGGGCGTAGCTTGTTCACGAGTGAACTCACCGGTCTTGCCAACGCTTGTCTCGATGGGAGATGTGAAGGCTGTATTCATAGGCCACGACCATAAAAATGACTTTTGTGGAAAATTGGATGGCATATGGTTTTGTTATGGTGGCGGCTTTGGCTATCATGCCTATGGAAAAACGGGGTGGCCAAGAAGAGCAAGGATTATACTTGCTGAACTTGAGAAGGGAAAAAATTCTTGGACTCAAGTGCAGAGAATTACAACATGGAAACGACTTGATGATGAGAAGCTGAGCAAGATTGATGAACAAATCCTATGGGATCGATTGTTTTCTGGATGACCATGGTAGAGTATTATTCTGCTGCCTACCACATTACACGTACAGTATCTGCATTGTATGTGTTGTATATCTGTGATGTACACGGTAATCAGTAGTAATACAGTTTTTTTAGTAGATATGATTGGAATCAGATATTTTTAATGATCAAACAATTATTATTGATTGACTGTATAAAAGTCTTTACAATGCTAGTTTATATCAATTAATCTTTGTGTTCATGTTTTCTAAACCTTCTTGCAATCAAGGTTGACGGCACTGCATATAACTCAATGAATTGGGTAGCTGAGTGTTATAATTTGTAAATAATATTGTGTTGATTTCATGAATAGAACTAGAAATTAATACAATATAATTTGTTAGAAATTAATACAATTTAAAAAAATATAAAACTAGAAATTAAACAAAGTCGTTTTGAATGAAACTTGAAATTCATGCAATTTAAATTGATTGCCGTTTTTCCTAATATCCAGATAACGTGTTTTTCTCTCGAGTTTGCAATCTAATATGCAAATATTAAAATGATTCTTTACCAAAAATTAGAACACTAGTTTGTGTGTGAACATGTAGATTCAATATTTAGTAATAGATTTATCAAATTTGATAATGTATAAGGTAGACATTTAGTACCATTAAAAAATTGATAGATATATTTAGTAACACTAATGTACATCAGGACCCAAGCATTTTATCTCTAGACCACACACATAAACTTAAAAGATTTTCATGACATAAATTTCATATTATAAAAAAAAATATTTATAAAATTATTTACGGAAATAAGTTGAATAACATTATTATATTAAATTCAAACTTTTAAATTTAACAAATTCTATTTTATTTTTATTTTTTTGAAATCAAAATACAATATAGTTATAAAATAAAGTAAACTTTGAATTTAGTTAACAAAAACACAAACTCAAATAAATTGTAACTATATAGTAGCATATTTCAAAAGATTTTATAAATGTTTGGTAGGAGAACTTTTTGTTTCTTTCAATTTTTTTAAAATTTTTTTTACATCCTCTCAAAACAATATTGTTTTGACTAGCTAAAAAAATAAGTATAAAAAAAGAGAATTTCTTTTAACACCTAGTGTATTTCTTTTAGATCTTTGACGAAATTCCTTAAATATCTCTAGAATTCATAGATGCGTATTCGAAATCACCATATTTGATAAAAAAACAAGTGTGTTCGCATGTACATATTCGAAGTTATTTTTTGTCAAAAAAAATAATTTCGGATATGCATCTCTAAATTTATCCCATAATTAATGATTTCGGAGATGCACATTCAAAGTCATTTTGTTGTTTTCAAAACAACGAACAGAACATAAGTCTCTCCATTGAAACACAGAACCTTTCACCTTTCTTCACCAAAACCCTTAATTTCTACTATCCAAACTTGAAGAACAAATTCATTTCTACTCATCTCCCAATTTCAACTCTTTTCAAGTCATTCCAACTCATCTCCAAAGCTCTAAGTTTGTGTAAGTTTTCTCCAATTCCATTTGATTTATTATGCAATCTTATAATAGTTTATTAGGTTAGTTAGAATCAATGACATTATGTAGGTTGATGTTAGAGTAGTTAAATAGTTGGTGTTTAGGTAACAAAAAAGGTATTTGGTTGATTTAGGACAAGAAGAAGCAGCTTCTTGAAAATAATTGTTCGCAGGTTGTTTCAGAAGTGCACATCTGAAATCCCATTGGACCTATTTTGGATGTGCACATCCGAATTCTTTCCTGAGTTGGTCTTTTTTAAAAATTAACAATTTATATTAATTTTTCAGGAATATGGTGGACAACCTGGATCGCAACAATCGTTTGAGACAAGGGAGGCCAAGCCATACTGCCTCTGCTCGCCGAGAGAGAACTACACAGTAGATTATCAGGCCTCGAGGATGTGGTCGGGTACAACGGGAGGATTTGCCTGGAGCTTCTTCTTCTTCTTCTTCTTCTTCTTCTGCAATGAGGAGTCTTCTGTATTAGGCCTCTACCTCTCGAGCGCATGAGCAAGTATCCGATAAAGGGGGCGTTTCTAAGGAGTTTGTGATATCCGAGGGGGATGAGGTACCCGAGCATGTTGAAGTACCTGAGGAGGAGAACATCGGCTATTAAGGAGGCCCTTATGACACCTCCTTGTTGATCTATTATCATGACCATACTGCTCGACATGTTTAGGATGGAGAGGTATATTTCTTGTTGCACTTTTTCATCTTAAATTTTTACTCACAAATTATATTTTAACGGAACATTTGCATTTTTTTTGTTGCATTTTTTACAGGAATGGTTGCCAATTAAGTCTGTGAACCATTCGCGGAAAATATTTTAAATTGTTTGTATCTAGGGAGGCTTGGTTCTATGAGGCCGTTGTTAGATCCGGACTTTCCAGATTATGTTGTACTGGTTACTCAACTATAAGCCACAACATGCAAGGGGAATTTACAGAGAGGTGGAACAAGGAGACTTCGTCTTTCCACTTTCCTGTTGGGGAAATGACGATCACACTTGATGACGTTGCTTGCTTGATCCACTTACCTATCAAAGAGAGGTTACTCAACCATTACAAGATACCACGAGCTGAGGCAATCGAATGGATGGTCGAGTATCTAGGTGTTGATCCATATAGGGCAGCTTATGATTACAGAACCATTAATGGTTCGGATGTAAAATTCTCGCACCTGAAGGATCTATATGAAGAACACCTGGTTGTAGCAGCAGTGGCCGAGGATGAGGGGGACGAGGTTTTTATTCAGTACCACCGATATTGTGTTTTGCGGTGTTACTATATGTTCTTGGTTGGCACGTCCATATTTGTGGACAAAAGTGTCTACTACGTTGATGTGACATACCTTCGGTATTTTATGGATTTGAATACAGTTTGTGACTGGAACTGAGGGCCGCCATTTTGGTATACTTGTACCAGAAGCTGAATGAAGTTTCAAACTGGAGGACTAGACATCTCACTGGCTCTTGCACACTCCTCACAATACATTTCATTTCAACTGTTACATTTTTTTAATAATTTGTACTTACATATTCTATGATTTCTGTTTCAGAGTTGGATCATCTTTCACTTTCACTGGATTCATGGTTTCGAACCAGACCCGATTTATACCCACGACATGCCGGGGGCTGCAAAATATGTCCTCCACAGAGGGAATCATAAAGTGTCGCCTTACCAGGTGTATCTTAATCGTACTAATCATGATGACATCAAATGGACGCAATTTGATGATTACAGGGATGTTGTCTCATTCGATCTGATCTCACTATACTCTGGGTGGCTAGCTTGTGGGTCGAATCTTATGGTCAGGTATCTTCTGGAGCAGTGTATCCAGCAGTTTGGCTATGTGCAAACGATATCGAGATCTCCTTTTCAGGCTGCTCCTGACACCATTGTCTGGTGGGATCTCGATCGCATCTTCCAAGATTGGGAGAATCATTTGGTGCCACATGAGTATCGGATAATGTCGGCATCCCAGAGTTGGAATTGTGTTGAGGGTTAAGTGACATGGTTATTTAACGTGTCACAATCTATTGTGATACCCCAATTTTTGCCCCTAAAGTCCTCTGAGGATCTCATCCTCTTCAAGGGCTATTCTTCATCCAATTCGTCAATGTCAGAGGCTATTAGAGTTTATTTTCCTATGTGCGATCAAAGTCAGGATTTTTCGTCTGTTATGCTTCAATTCAAGATTATTGGTTAAGTTTTCTTCAAAGTACATCAACAGGGAGTCTTGTGAATCTTGAACAACAACCTTATCTTTGAATCTCAAGCTCTACAATTTTCAAGATTTTCCTCAAGACATGACCTATAACTTTATGCATGATTCTCTCAAGTCTCAGTTATCATCATCTGAAGCTCAAGTTCATTAACTGTTTGCAAGAAATGTTCACCATGACGTTTGAATGCGCAAAAAAGGTTAAAGTTACAAAAGTCAAAGTTTTCTCGAATTAAAATTGATTTTACTTATAATCCATGTTTTATAAATTCAAGATATTGAATTATTTAGTAATTTTAATTCAATTGTCTGATTAATTTTGATATTTTGTCTTTAAGTCGATTCAAGTTTCAAGTGATGTCCAAATTCGATTTTAATTGAATTTCTAATAAATATTCAATTTAAAATTTAATTTGATTATATTAAAGAAAATTGTCTTTTGCTATCTTGATATTAAATTTTGATTCGACTTTTGATTTTAATTCAATTTAAAATAATTTATTTTTAAATTGAATTATTAATTAAAATAAAACCAAAATGAAAAATCATTTTATTATTTTAAATCTTTTTCTATATTTCCACTTTTTTGCATTTTTAATTTTCATATTTTGTTATTACTAACATTTTTCTTATTTTTATTATTACTACTACCATTGTTTTCTTTTATTATTGTTAGTATTATGATTATTATAGTTACTGTTCTGGACTGGGCCCGACAGGCCCAAAAGCATTACTAAGGCCCAGTCCAAAGGGACTCACTAAGGACCACACTGGGCAAAGGGGGTCACGTCAATGCCCGACACCCTGATGTCCACCTCGACATCTCGGTGTCCAGCCCCACGATGAAGTCATGCTCGACAGCCTGCCGTCCAGCTCTATGTCCTGGCTTCCAGCTCGACACTCGCTGTCCAGCTCGAGGTCTTGGCGTCGAGCTCGGCACCGTGCTGCGCAGCTCGACATGGTCTCGATCTAACTTGCTAGGGCAGACTTAGTCCACCATTGCCCCAACGATACTCCGGAAAGACCGCGTCTCCGTCCGCCCGCACTTCATACAGCATATCCAGGAAGGGGACCACGTGCTGGCCCCCACTACCCACGTAGAACCTGGCAGTTCCTCCATTGGGCCAAATCCGCCCGGCCCAATGAAGGAACCTTGGCCCAGCGCTGGGGGCTATAAATACCCTCTGTTTCTAGAGGGTCAGGTATTCATCATTCTAACCTCAACTCTATTATCTGCTCGTACTCCCACTGACTTTAGCATCGGAGTGCCTTGCAGG